GACTGCTTCGCCTCCTTTACACAAACCTCTCTTTCTCAGCAGAAGCTTCTTTAGCCACTGTCTCTAAGACTATAAAAAAAAAAACACACATCGTCTATATTCCATTCCTGATTTTTGTGATTGACAGTTATTACTCGCTGCCCTACGATGCTAGTTTATTTATCAAGCTTGTTTACTGTTTCCTCTCGCCCTTAAGTAGAATGAGTGTGCGTGTGCTCCACACAGCAAACGTTTCTGCCTTTTCACCCACTTGATACCTCCAGCGTCTATAACAGTGCCCAACACATACTAGGTGCTCAGCAGATATTTCTTGAATGAAAGAAGGAATGAACCATGAGCGGTAAGGAAGGCGTTGAAGGCACAAAAATAATTTTGTTTCTACCTTAACATCTCCCACTGAGGCAGGAAGGATCTTATTGGGGTGACGATCATTCTAAAAGTGGACGATGGTGATGGCCCTCCAGAATTACTGGATTGCGCACTTAAGATGAGTAGAATCTACTACGAATTCTGTACAGACATTTTGTACACATCAAGAATGAAAGTCTGGGGTGCTCGGCATTGGACGTATTTGTAAAAGCGGGAAATAAAACATTTTAACAGTGACTGCAATGTTTCAAAAACATGGTGGATTTTCATTCAACTGAAGCCCATTTAAATGGGTGGGATGCAGCTCTAATTCTAGCCTGCTGAGGTACTCAGATATACTGAGAAGGGTGGGGACAGCATGGCCTGGCCATTTCCTCAGAAGGGATGCCTTCCAGGCAGTTAGAAGTCACATGACCAGCCCTGGGGACTGTCAAAGGACCTCTGTGTAGATCCCACCCAACTCTTAAAGGCATTGTCACCAGAGGCTGGGCACGGCTTCTGTCTGACGTCTGAACCCACAGGGCACCAGACCAGTTCTTGAAGGCAACCCATCCGATGGCGACACGTTTTGACCTCCACGAGTCTGCGTCGCATTTGAACCACGAAGCTCAAGGTGGAGAGTTGTCAGGTCTTTTACTGGTCCTCGTGTCCAGACTCACTGTTCATTATTCATTTTACTCGCCTCCCTAAATCATCAGACCGCTTGAGACATAGTCTCAAGACAAGGTTTGATGTCTTTAATTATAATTTTCCTTTAAAGTTTGCTTAGTGTATTTGCCTCAGGTTGAGGGGGAGGGGTGGGGAACGCACTTTTACTTTCTGAAAAGGACTTTTTTTTTTTAAAAGAAAGACTTAACGTACTCTGTAATTGAGTCCAAATATTAAATTATTTTGATTGCAAGTTTTCCACTGGAGGCATACGATTATGCTTAGAAAGGGTGGTAATAGTAGATGTGAGAAATAGACAGACTGGCTGAAACATGTACATGCTCCCAATCATGGTATAAAAATGGCAACTTAGAGCAGCCAGTTCAAACCTTCTCATGATAAAAAACATACACTTGATATTATAAGTCTCATTATTCATTAATACCACGATGGATTTTGTTTAAAATACACCAATTTAGCGTCCATATAAGAGGATCACTCCTGATTTTAGCCAGTGAACGACCTGATTAATCTGTGTCTATGAAACAGGCCCTTGGTGATTTGCTGAACAGAGGGGCAATGCATTCAGCAGGGGCACAGCCATCTCGACGCACCCGGAGAAATAAACTCGGAGGTCATTTTCTGTTAATATCTAGTCAAATTATATTCCTCAGGTATCACAGGACTAAACTCAGCACAATTATCACGTAGCGGTCATCAAATTTCACAGCACCTTTAAAACAGCAAGGAACTTGGAACCGAACGCAATGATCGCAATGATAAAGTGACTCCAGAGGGGATTTTAGAAAATGAAAGAGATTAATTCATGCTCAGAGGTCACCTTCTGCAACGTCCCCGAGGCATAAGCCCAAGGCCGCCCGTCACCGTAGATTCACGGCACCTTCCAACACAGCCCGTCCGCTTCTCCGCGAACAGCCGGACACGTGCTGGCCACAGACGTGAGCAGGGGACGGACGTGGTGAGTGTGCCCGCCCCACGTGCCCAGCGGGGCGGTGTGAGCGCCCGGCAGGAAGGCGAGACTGACCTTTGGAGGAGTGGAAGTGTTTGCTGGGGGCCGTGAAGCCGCGGGTCCCGTGCACGTTGACGGCCGCCACCCGGAACTGGTACCACCTGCTGGGTCGTATGTCCATCAGTTGAACCCGCTCATCTGTGGTCTGAGGGGAAAGGGCACAGGGCACAGAGCAGCCTTTTAGTCCGACACATCGATCGGGTCTGTTTCTTTCCTACACTAAGCCGTCGACCGACACCGGGCGGGCTGGACCACCCCCCGCACACCCTCCTGCAGAGATGCGCGTAATGCTCTGGTGTGAGGATAGCTGTCAGGGGTCAAGGAACTTCTAGAAAAAGCTTCGGTCACCTAATTCCATCCATAGACATTGCCCCCCAAAGAGTTAACCATCTCTGGAAGGCAAAACCTTACAACAAATGCATGGGTTTAACTTTCAATCTGGTGACTAAATACTGCATTGGAGGGATTTAATTAAATCATACAGACAAGTGAATAGACATGTGCGCTAAACGTTACCCAATAGACAAGAAAATAAAACCATCTTTAGATTATAGAAAACGCCTCTTTAATGTGCATGCTCAACATAATTTTGGAAGCCCGCAGACTTCGAGAATGCTGGACGTACATCGCAAGGCGAGACTTTCTTGTTTTTTAGTTTGAGTAAATCGTGTAAGGTCTGCAAGAACCCAGCCGTGTTCCTGAAGGGTGAGGTGTGGTCATATATCTCTGTCCAATAAAATGTCCAAAAGCGGAAAGTGGACACAGTGGGCGGTCCATCGCTTTTTGCTGCCTCTGCGGCGACACTGTCCAAATATCAAGTAGCTCTGACAGTTTTCCTACTTCCGTCCTTCATCGAGCTAAGGGAAAATCTACCTGTTTGCAATGATGCCCCATGAGACAGCTGAAAACCTTTGCCTTGAATCCCCGAGAATAAAGGGCCCCATTCTCTGCGTCCTCTGTGCCAAACTCAACTTGACGCTCAGTTACATAAAGCGGAGGAAGGAGAATCGAATTGAACCGTCCCAAACCTCGGTTTATTATAACTTACTGAAAAGGACTGTCACATTTTTTATATCTATCTAAAAGCAGCCAAACATTTCTGGGATCAAAGGAAGAATGTGAACTCTTCAACGTGGCTTTCTGTCTCGGTTGGCAGGATTTGAGACCCTTTCGCCGACTTCATCGCTTAGAGTTTTAGCCTTGAATTGAAAAAACTGAAGTCAGCATGAGAGCCATAGAATTTAGCAGACCAAAAAAAAGCAGATCTTACAAGTGGTAGCAAGCGAAAATGCGAAAAAATCAAGATCTTTTCTTTCTCCAAAAAGGAAGGGACGAAAGAGATGATCTCATCAATTACTTTTGTAAAACTTAAAAAGAGTTTAGAAAATTTACGAATGATATCGTACCTCTGTTTAAGCAAACACGCCACGTACATCAAATAGAATTTTAGGCTGTGTTCTTAACATCTCCGCTTTATTAAAACTTTTTTTTTTTTTTTTTTACAAAATCGGTGTAGAATTACAAAATTTATTTGACCCGATCTGTTTTTCTAATTTCAGATGTTTTACATGAAGCTTCTCATTAATTTTGGGGTCTCTAAATTTTTTTAGTGCGTATCCTCATTGGGATACTACTATTGACGAAAGAATCAGGTTTCAAATACCTGAATACTAGAATGTATTTTACATTTACTGGAGAAAAAAAAAAAGAAAAAGAATCTTATCCTTGGAGAAAGTGATCTGATCACCTCAAGGCGAGAATATTTCTCTATGGACGTCCATGTGGAGAACGCATTTGAGTCGTGGAAAACCATGAAGCCGTTTCGTATGGAAAATTTGTTCTTTTTCTTTTTTTTTCTTTTTTTTTTATCTCCGTGTCGTTTTCCTACAGCTGGTAGTCCACTTAACAGCTCTTAAAAAGAAAGAAAATATTTTGCTTTTCTCCTCCACAAGACAGAAGAGGAAGAAGCACTGCTAAGATAAACTCTAGGAGTGTCGCCACACAGGCGGCGTGTCAGCTGGGGAGGTGACCGGACAGAAAAGAAAGCACTTAGCAAAGGTTGATGAGCCGCTGGCCGCTTTCCACGGAGCAGTTTGTGATATGAATCTTCCTCCACGCTATGAGAGTCCTTTTGTGGAATAAAGTCTTAAATTTAGGAGAAACAAAAGACGAGTCATTTCCACGATAACTACCCTTCCCTGCATTGCGTTGGCCTCAGTCTAGTTGGTTTTAAGCTTATCTCAAGGAAACGCAGTCCTTGGAGGAAATAAATGTGAACAGTCCGATTAGAAAATTATGTCCCTGCCGCATGTATTTTGAGCAAATTAAAGCCATCATCAAGTTTCTGCATGTGTTAGGTTGTATCCAGGGGGCACGCACGCTGTGTTCAGCAGATACATGAGATACGTCCACTTCTGCATGTGTTAGGTTGTATCCAGGGGGCACGCTGTGTTCAGCAGATACATGAGATGCGTCCCCAGTTAGCTTATTTCGGTCGTCAGGCTACGTTAAAGAGGCAGCTAGTGGATTCTGTATCTGTGAGCGCGCAGTAGGCATTTCTGTAAGGGGCAGTCCCGTCTCGGAAGCACTAACCTGGGCCACCGTCTGCCAGTGTGTGGCGTCGTCTTCGCTGGGATGGATGCCAGGGTTCCACCTTCTCTGTACCACGTAGATCACAGGCTCAATGGAGATATTGAATTTCGAGGACCACTTAATCTCCAGCTGCCCAGATTGAAGTTCTGTAAATCGTAACTCTTTCCTGGGCTTCAGGGGGACACCTGGAAAGGGACCACGACAGTTAAAACAAACCGCGTGGCACTCGGACCGAAGAGAAAGTCGGAGAAGACAATGTGTGGATGAGATAAATCTCATCAGATGGCAGCGGACACTCCCCTTCCTTCCGTAAAAGTGGCTTCTCTATGTCAAGGTTTCGCGTTTGAAACCTTATGACACTAAGTTCAGCCCATCACTTTCCAAAAGAGTCTTTGCCCGTTCCTCATCTTTTTAAGAGGGTCTACACGGATTCCTGATTCTGAACAAGCTTCCCTCCCCACCCCACCCCCCCCAGGAACCTCGAGAGCAATTTCGATACACGCATTCTTCGGAATAAACGTTACCGAGTTGAACCACTTGAGGGTCATGTGGAACTCACGGGAGGCAACACGGTTTCAAGTCATTTTTCCCAGTTAGCATGCTCTGTTTTTATGACATGTTCTAGGGTCATTATGACATTGTCCCCTCCTATCTCATGGAGTTTTCCTTTTAAGGAAAATATCCTAAAGCTCGGTCCCCTCAGAGAGTCGAATGTCGCAAGCATTATTTCCAGAGTGAGTCTTGCCGATTGCGCAGATGACGCCCAGGCCAGCTCTATCTCCTACAGAGTTAGGGCTCAAAATTGGAAAATAACGAGTTGATAATGTTTGCCTTTGGCAGGAGTGACCGCATCGCTCCCAAAGTCCCTCACAGGTGTCTCTTTGTAAAGTAGTAAATCATTCTGATTTCTGTTCCCCGAGCCTGTGCGTGCAACTTGTCTGGTGACTGGAAAACTAAAGAACCATGGTTCAAAACTATAGCCACTGTGGAAAGGGACTCTAAAACAAGTTTATAACGCTAAAAGGAGATGTAAAAACAATCGAATTAGGTAGAGTCTACGGCGCCACGATGTTCAACGCTATCAAAACGAAGAATGACAGTTGCCATGAATGTGATTTTCCCTTGATAATGGGCATTTCCCTAAAGCGCCGACAACTCATTGGAAAAACTTAGCTCGCCATGCTCTATTTCTTAAGTTTAAACAAAGAAGAATCTGGAAAATGTGCAAATACGAACTGTCAATGAGGTCCGATGCACACGGGGATGTGGCTGAATTTCCACAGTTATTTTGTTTTTTATCTTAATTCAAGTCAGGTCTTACTCAGGGAAATCTGAATGTCGTTAAACATTTGGATGGATGGAACTAGATATTTTAAATGGCACATTTACGTCGGCTCATACGGTCGCTAATTTTTTTCAAAACTATTCTCTAGAGAACATACTCCCCACACCTTGGCATTCTCCGCTTCGATGTGCTGATGGGTGGTATCTATAAAGTGCCCTTGACCTTAGGGAAAAGTCATGTCCCCTGATCCATACTGTGTCTTTGAGAAGTGGGTGAAGGGTCAGGTCCCCACAGTTTGAACATCAGGGAACGGAGTATGAGGAAGGTGAAGTACGTTGCCCAGAGCCGTGACCGACCCAACGCCGGGTTTCCCCTCTGAATTCTCTGCTCCTTTCTCCATTTTGAATTAGGAAAAGCCACTCAGGAAGGGAAAGTGAAGAGGTGGCCTTCGTAGATCTGTAAATCCCTCGGACCGTAAAGTCCTTGACCTTCCTGGTCGGCATGGGCGGGCCACCTGTCAGTCATTCCTGGCTGCGGCTGCGTTCTTTGTGCCCGACGTGACATCATGGTGGGGGCCGCTGACTCTCACGGCTTCAATGCTTCTGCTAAACATGCGATTCTCAAATCTTTCCCCGCACCCGCCTGCCTGCTGAAGGAACATCTCTGCACAAGTCCCATCTTCAGGGCTTCGCCCCAAAATATGTCCCTCCTCGGTGACATATATGTTCATGACAACTGTACGCGTTTGGATATCTAAGGGGTCTTAAACCTTTGTGACTTGTTCTCGTTACCTACCGACGTCTCGTCGTGTGACTGCCAGGCGCGACCCCAGGAATCCCCAAACCACGGTTTCTCCACGGCGACCACCTGCCCTGCCATCGTCCACGTCCCGCGTGGACGTCCACAGCGGCCTCCCCTTTCAGGTCCCTGCAAGTCGCTCTCAGTTTTCTAATTTCCTCTTGACGCCAGGTTGGTGGTTATTTTCCCAAAGCGGAGGAGAGTCCCCCACCCGCCCACGTTCTACAGAGTGAAGAACGTCCCTGCATCTCGCTCCGGGCATCCATCTGCACGACCGCCCGCCAGCCATGTCTCTCGCGACCTCCGCTTGCGTGTCCCGGACTCCTCACGCCTGCCTGTCAGCCAGCCCTTCCGCCAGGCGCTCGCCACCACCACGGTCTGCTTATGTCACTATTTTTGTTTTCACCGTGAAATGTCTTTCTTCCTCTTTCCACACTACAGAATCTGAGTACTTCCAGGCTCACTCCAAACGCCACCTGAGCCACGTTCCTACACCTTGCAGCTGTAAATAAGGGTCCCGTTCCTCTGCTCCCCCTCCGGCGTGTAGCCTGTAACCATTACGATGCGCATTAAACTGCCTCTTACTGCGGGGCGAGCTCGCTGAACGATCTCGTCTTTTCCTCTAAGCTACAGCCCCAGTGGTGGAGAAACGTTTCTGCTTCGTGGCCACAGCTCGTAAGGTCCCAGGAGAGAACACTGTGCCACAGGACATGCTCAGTGCGCACCTGCTGAAGAAACGGGCTAAGCCGCTTCCTCGTCCTGACTCCGAGAACACGTCTGGGGAAATCAGCGGATACTGGAACATTTACATAAATCTCTGTGGCCACGGCAGACCCCTCTCTGCGTGACCGTCCCTGAGGCATGGGGAAGGGTGATCCCAGGTGTCCTGTGCTGCCTCCTCAAGCACATAGTCTTTTGAGAAACTCACATCTCAGAAAAACTCACATCTCTCTTTTCCATCAAAGTCTTATCACTCAGACATTCATTTACTCTCGCTTTTTAAGAGGTAAGTACTAAATCATAAATAAATCAATATCGATAGCTTTACAAAATGGAATAGTTCTATTGCATTGACCGTAGAACTTCCCTGGATAAAGAGGAAAAAAGACCAGTTTCTAACAATCTCTGCTAAGATGAAAATCCCAAAGTTAAACGATGATTGGTCTTAACCCAGAGGTACCCGTCAACTCTTTTTAGGTAAAAAAAAAAAAATTGTGATGCAAAACCGATCTTAACAAAATGATTGTTTGTGTCATTCTTCCATTCAAGGTGTGCAGCCAGGTACTAGACAAATACCTCTGGGGAGCGAGTTTGCAGGTACGGGAAGAGGAGGCGCCTCTGAGAACCTTTCCTGGTTCACTCGATTCCTTCCGGTAAAGAGACGATCAGTTAGTCCTCTGACCTGCTAGAGCACGTTCCCTGAGATGTGCAAATCCATCTTTCTCCTTGGCCGTCTGTCCCGTGCACAATCCTCCAGCATAAATGCACCTACGGTAAGTACTTTAGCCCCTGAGGTAACCTGAACTCATCAGAAGCAAACCTGCGCATCGGAGCCTCGTTGCTACAGGGTTTTAATTTTGATTATCATTCAACAACCAAGAGCTCTGATGGACCAGGATGGGGGTGGGACAACGTCAGTTCGAATGTCTTCATTTACAAATCTCATTAATTACGATGTACAGCAAAGTCACGATCCGCATGTTGAGAAGTGGTCCATCTGCTCTGCATTGGGTCAGGTGGCTCCCTGACTGGGAGTTACCGCAGCACTTGGCCGTAACTGTGAGCAGATGGGGCTCCCAACCCCCAGACCGCCAAACCCCACTGTCCATCCATCTTCTACATGATCCTTGTTAGCTCAACCAGCTGCCCGGTTCCATAACCAGATGTGTGGGCTGAATCCCTCCTCGGTGTGTTTTTCATTATGTAAATGACCAGAACTGTTCTTTTTTATTATTCTTGAACAAATCAGTCATCTGAAATCTAAACTATTCTGGTAAAAAAATTCAAAATGCTATTGCATACCATCCTGAAAATACAGAGGCCATTTTTAAAGTGTTACATGTATTCTGGCGAAATCGAAGAAACAGAAGCCCAATGCTTTAAAAATATATTGAAAATACATTCATGAGTTCATTTCTAAAAGCCTGAAGTTTAAATCTTTCAAATATGACGATATTCATGGATATACCGAATCGACTCCATTCCCGGGTCTTTTTGAAAAGAAATACATCGATGCATGATTCATCCTTGGCTTGTGCACGGCCAAGAGAAAATGTTGTTGGTAACGGAAAGCCCCAGATAGATCTGAATCCTTATGTTTGGGAAACAATTTTGACTTTTTCTCCTTCCCTACGCAAACCAAGTGCCGGAGCTGGGAGTCAGAAGAGGCAGCAATTTGGGCAATAAAACAAGCAAATCATCTTCTGGAGGGAGGAGTCTAAGTAGGTCGTAGGTCAGACTGAAATAGGGAACGGGAGACAATCAAAGAAACGGTCGCTGGCTACACGTGCGGTCACTGATGTTTCGCCCGTGGACGGTCAGCCTTGTGAACTTCCCACAGCGATGCGAAGGCTTGCGTTTCAGAGAATTAGCACCTTTGGGTGTCACGCTAACGTTTTCATGTCTCCCAGGACGTTGCTAATAATTTTCTTTATTTGAAGGGTAATGGAAAAACTCTGCGGTTTCCCTTAGACCGTGTCAAACTATAACTCTAGTCTGTAGAGGTCACTTAGACGCATTAGCCAAGGACGGTTCTTACTGCCGTGAACAATTAAAGGCTCAGATAGAACGGAGCATTTTGTCGATCGTTTTTTTCCAAAACACGCATTGTTTTCAAAACTCGGGTTTCTAACGTATAAAGATTTTGAAGCTGCGAAGTCGGTGTGCCTCCCGTCTTCCCTGGCACAAACACGGGAGACCAAACAGAAAGCATGTGTTTCCGTGTTTTGTTATTTTAATTAACTCGATCAGCAATAGGAGGAAAAATAGGACAGGGGTTGGTACATATTGACCTCCTGCAAAAGTTTCAAAAAATTATTTGTCCCCTTAAATAAGTATTTTGGGCACGATTGCCTTGATAAGGAACTACGGGACTGGGTGGGGATTGGCGTCATATTGATTTTTGCACCCCAATTTATTAGCCTACAACAATTGGTAAGTCGGGGATTTTATAAGATTAAAATATTTGATATTGACATGAATGCGACGATGCCCTAGACAGCCTGACGTTTACGGTCCTGCTACGGACGTCAGCGAGAGTCAGAATAAACATGGCAGGACAGCTGGCCCAGGTGGCAGTTAGGCTCAGCTGCATTTCTGCTACCAGCTCCCGATTCCCCCCAGACGGGCTGCAGCCTGAGCTTCAGCACGTGTGAGCTGAGAGCAAGTCTCGTACATCTCAAGCAACGATCGAGCCCCCTCTTCCTAAGAAAAGAGACCGCACAGTCCTCGCATTAGTAGAGAAGGGTGATCTTATCCTCCACGGGTGAGTTCGAGGGAATGGAAGCTGAGGACGGTGACAGCTGGTACTCCAGAGGGCCCAGGTTGACGAGTGTGCGTAGTGTCGGGCTGGGTCCCTCTTCTTCTCCTCGCAAAGCCAAGAGCTGAGTCAGAAAGGACCCCCTTCCAGAAGGCCTGGCGCCATTGCCAGCCCGCCCTCTTTGGAGAGTGAGCAAGCGGGGTGGCTGCCGGTCAGGAATTGGATGGGGGTGTCACATGGCTAATTAGCTATGATTGTCGTAGAAAGGGTTCCAGCAGGCTCCATCTGAACCCCCTCTTGGGTACACCCCAACTTATTCATTGGTGCTGTCAAAGGGGTCCACATAGGAACAGGCTTTTCTGCCGGGGCAAAGGCGGAAGCAAAGGGAGATACCTACATGTGTATATATATATATATTTTTTTTCATAATAACAAATATCATCCTTATGCTCTTTATGGGAAAGTCACTGTCAAGTCAGCAGAATCTGTTTCTTCTACTTGTGGTCTGTTCTCTGTGAACTGCGTCTCTCCGGAGAAATCCTAGTTCGTTAGAAATCCTAGGACCCTTCAGCGCTTTAGAAGAAATCCATCACATTTAGTATGGCGCAGGTCTAAACAGCAAGTATCTTTTAATAATTAATCATTTTCGTAGGCCAGTCCCCTTTTTCTCCGTGAACGTGGCATATTTGAACTTCACACTGACTCTTCAATGCTTTTATATAAAAAAACATAATTTATATTCTCTTCTCGAAATGCCCTACTTTTCAAACGCTAAAGGTTTTACAAACGGGGTTTTAACAATCATGCCGAAAGCATCCCATTTTTATGGGAAATGCTAATCCTTAAATAGCACATGATCTGCAGTAACAGCAAAGGTTTCATAAGAACAGACTTTTAAAACATTAAATGGGTTAGAGTTCGCGAAAATGACGTTATAAAGTTTATAATAAGAGGCAGGAAAACAATAAGACTTTAAAGCCATTTAAGACATGATGCTCGGTAAGAAGTGGTTATTTGGAATTGGAGACACAGTCTTTGTGTCAGGTTTGGAAGGATCCTACAGGAACACAAGTGACAGCGGGCGGATGACAGAGGTTTCGGATGAC